TACAGTGGCTCTCAGTGTTCCTGCCCGCTCGCCTCTCCTCCTGTCAGCACCAGGGAGATGAGAACCAAAGAAGGATGACTGCAGGCTCTCATAATCCCCGCTCACAGCCCACCCTGTTTCTTCCTTCCTAACTCCTGGCTGCAGCAAAAGACCAATCAAGAGACAGTGAGGAACCTGGGAAAAGAAGTTCCACGGTGGAGGAGAGGGGAGGACAGGCAAGGGGAAAAAGAGGACAAGCTGTGAGGATGCCATCTCGAGAGATAGAGGGAGGCCACACCACTGGAAGCCACAGTGTGGGTAGGCCAAGGAAAGAATAGCTGTGACCTGTGTGCGGAGGGAGGCTGCACTACAGACCGGAGTCGCCCAGGTAACCCAGAGATAGTGGACGTTCAGTGGGAGAGATCATTGCTGCGGTACAGCTGGGTCTGGTCTGAGTGCGCCTGTCAGCCATTATCTACTACCATCCCTAGAGTCCAATGCATTGAAAGCCACCTAATCAGCCACTCCATAGCTCTAATTCTGCCTGCAGGCCTTATTGACTGAATTAACACACACCAACGGGCCCCAACATTTTAGTCGGCTGAAGGTTAGGACTAAAGCTGGCACCAAAAGTTGCTGCCTTAAGGCCTTGCCCCCCTTATTTAGTTAAGAGATACCTCTTAGGAGACGCTGCATTATACCCTGGCCAATCCCTTAGAGTGCACTCTAAACCAGTATAGTATTATCATTCTTATTGCATGCTTGAATTCATCAGACCAGACCACCTTCTTCCATTGCCCTGTCCAGTTCTGATGCTCATGTGACCATTGCTTTTGGCTGTGGACATGGCAGCATGAGCACCCTGGCTGGTTTGTGGCTACACAGCCCCATACGTAACAAGCTGTGATGTACCATGTGTTCTGACACCTTCTGATCGGAACCAGCATCAAAGTATAGGCAAAACTATTTTGTTTCGTTTTGGACAAAATGGAGATGGATTAGAACACCTATAAGGTTTCATTTGAAGAATGTGTCCCTGTTAGGGAGAGTCACTCTCTCTATTTGCCCTGTTTACCATTATAAACTGAAGTAAAGTAAAGTGAAAGTAAAAGAGAATCCCAAATTTTGGATTGTTCCTTGAAAAGGAATAGAGGGAAAATCTTCCAATGAGGACACTAGTTCTGGTGACCTGGGGAGCTTCATGAGATTGATCCTGCCAGTTAAGTCCACCTAGTGCAGCTTCCTGTGATGGGGTGGCAATGATAATGCTCTGCTGCTGATTTCAGATCAGAATTGCCACTCTCATGTAGGCTGTGCCTGCTTGCACCCCAGTGTTATGGAAAAAGGTTGCAGAGGGCATGGCCACAACAATGTCATTGCTGATTCACAAGCCTATAGTCTGGCTACATCTTTTGGGATTGTTAGTCTGCCTCTCTTGCTGAAACCCTCCAACCATAGGCTGCAGTGTCTGGAAAGGGGAACATTTTAGACACAAATGAAGGAGGATTTGGCTCAGACAGGAAAAGAAGAGATGGGCAGACTGTGATGTAAAGGGGGGTGACTCTGATGTAATGGGTAGACTGTGATGTGCAGGGGTGGAGGTGGGGGGACACTCTGATGTAAAAAGGGGACACTGATGTGATGGGTAAGGAAGATCCAGTGTGTTCTAAATGAGAAGATCAGTGCATGCACATTTTTTTTTAACAAAGTTACATCCAGACATGTGTTAGCCTGCAGATACAACTGTATTAGCATGCACGCTAAGCAGCACGCATGTGGGTGCACATGCATGCTTGGCACTGATATTGGCACCAAACAGCCTAATTAAATTTGAACTTCACCGAAAAGAAGTTCCGCTTGTTCACATCCTCTGTAGCAATTGGCTCTTTATGGGAGGGGGGTCAGTGGGTACCTGGTTTTAACAGTTACCAACTCCTACTATCGGTTGGATTGCCTCAGCATTCTGTGTGGAGGTTGCTGCCCCCCACCTTCCACCGCAGCCTTCTGGGACACATCACAGGTCCCAAAAGACTGCAGGAACATTCACAGAACGGAGCGCGGCTTGTGCTGGCGCAGTGGGAAACAACTTCACAGCCCGCTTCTCTTTGTTAGGATACCAGCGTCAGGAACCAAAGCCGATTGCAGAATCAGCACGAGTGAGGACAGCACTGGATCCCTGGACAGATAGTTGCTGACTTTTATTTTTGGAGGGGGAGACTGGAGCTCCTCTTTAAGCTGGAATGTGACATGGATTGCTGAGTGGTCTACAGTTAGATCTGGATTTACCTTAACCTGACCTACTATTTGTCTTCCTGTATACAACCTGGCTTGCCTCTGACCGGTCTTAGATTCTTGTCTACCTGTTATGATCCTGGCCTGCGTTTGGACTCTGCATTCTGTTTTCTGAATCGATACCTTGCTGCCCAGCTGTTAGCTGACCTTCACCTGTATCCTGACACTGCCTCCAACTTATGATCCTGTACTTTGCTGTCTGGCTGTTGCTAACCTTGATCTTTATCCTGAAGCTGCGTCTGTCTTCTGAACTGGTACTTCGCTGCCTGGTTTTCAACAACTTTCGGCTTGTGCCCTAGCTTTATTCCTGTCTACAGATCAGGTCCTGCCATGTTCCTGTCTCTGGTCCTTACCTGGTGGTCCATAGTCATCATTGCCTGACATCTAACAGCTGGTGGTGCCTGCAATATCGGCCCTCATACCACTCTATGTCCTCACATTTTCTGCTACAATAGTTTTTTATTGTTGCAGCAAAAAATTATACAACAGATCACCCACGCAGGGGTAGCATAGTGAAAATGCAGTCAAACAAGCATGGGTGGAATAATGGGCAACAAATATTTTAACAAGAGAGAATTGCTAATGGGCGACCGCACAGAGGGAGCCGTCGGTCTACATATGTTACTTGGGTCCAAAGGCCTGCGTGCATACTCAGCAAAGAAAGCCAAAGAGAAGAAAATGAAAGATTAAAAAAAGGGATGGGTGGGAGTAGGTCCTGCAGGCTTGGGTGGTGGCATCAGCAATTAAAAGTTGCTCAGGCTGGTCGAATGCAGGGTGGGGAGAGCATACAACCTATCGCCTCACATTTTCTATCACCCTCTACTAGGGGTGTTGAACAAAAGGTGCAAGAAAAGCCCCCTCTTCAGCTTGATCTCCACCAGGTACATGACGGGGGACACTGGTGTGATGGGGGGGCTCTAATGTGTTGGGGAGGACTCTGATGTGATGGTGGGATGGACTCTAATATGAAGGGAGCTAACTTTGATGTAAAGGGAGGAATGATGTGAAGAGGGTGTCCTTCAGCCCAATGAATACAGTTCAGGAATGGGGTGCCTCGTGATTTTGCATATTTTTAAAGGGTTCTAGGACTAAAAAAAGGTTGAGAAAAACTTCTCTAATGCATGCACTTTTCAGTGCAACCACTGGAAGAATCTGGGAAGTAGTATTTCCTATTCACTCCTGCACTGCCTCTGCACTACCCAGGAGTAATATTAAACATTATTTCTCGGTTGTCGGAACTTGTGGTTAGGGATGAGCCTAATGGTGGGTTCCAACATAAGCGCTGCTATTATAAATGATAGCTTCATACTGTCAATAATTGCTAAGGACGCTGGCCAGGTGCAGGCACTACTGAGTCCTTAACAACCAGTGTTGTCACATGCCCTATTCGCTTACATGGCCAGGAATCCCCAACCATGTAAGCAACTGAGCTGGGATAGTTTAAAAAAAGAGGATGTGGGGGTTCCCCCATAATTAATTCCAGGCCCTTCAGGTCTGGTATTAATTTTAGGGTGGGGGCCCATATAAAAATCAAGAGAAAAATTACAAGGTCTCCCCAAAAACCCATACCAGAACATTATGCGAGAATACAGCCTGGGAGGCCAGGAAAGGGGAAAGAGCATGAACCCACCCTTCTGAAACATATTAGGGCACATGCCTTTTCCCCATGTTGATGAGGACAAGGGCTTCTTTCTCACAATACTCGAAGGTTGCGTGTGGGCGAGGGGCCTATTGGAATCTGGAGGAAGATTTTTTTCATATTACTCAGTGATGCCCAAATGTGGAATTATGTTTTGACACTATGGGGTTTATTTACTAAAGCTGGAGAGTCCAAAATCAGACTCTCTTCTGCATAGAAACCAATCAGCTTCTAACCTCAGCTTGTTCAATGAAGCTTTGGCAATGAAACCTGGAAGCTGATTGGTTTCTATGCAGAAGTGAGTCTGATTTTGCACTCTCCAGCTTTAGTAAATAAACCCCTATAAGTCTTAAGGAGGATATGTTTGGGCATCTTAAAGGAAACTTCATTAACTGGCACCCTCTTACCTTGAAATGAAAGGAAATGTTCTGGTTCAACTAAGCCTGGTTATAAACCTTTGAGGTTGTCAAGCTTAATAGATGAACAATACTTTTCAAATTAGAAGTCCTCACAGCTAGATGTCATTAATTAGTCTTCATTATTATGTGTTTTCTAATATGTAAGCACAACAGAAACTGCTTTATCTCAGACTCCCTCTCTAATTAAAACTCTAGGCAGCTCAGTTGAACAAAGCAAGTAGGGAAGGAAGAGGGATGCTTTACTTCTCATTCAGCAGAGTTGACCAAATTGTCTCTGTAAACAACAGTCTTTTTTTCAAGAAGGCAGCTAAGAATAGACAGGTAAATGTGTGTAAAGGAGCCTAGGGCTGTATATCTTGGCTGCATATTAAAGTATTAAAGGGGAATTAATTTTTTTTTTTTTTTTTTAAAGTGAAGTTATCCTTTAAATAAGGCAAACTAATCATAGCCAAGAGAACCCTTATCCAATGGCTTGTAAATAAATAATTTAATACTTAAAAAATATTTAAGACAGCGAGAAAAATGTGTTGCTCATAGAAACAATCAAGTTCCAGTTTTTATTTGTAGTGCATTTTAATAAAAAGTGTCTGATTGCTGACAGCACAGACACATTTATATAGGAGGTCCTATGTGACCAATCAAAGCTGCAGAAATTAACAGTCAGTATGGCTTCATAAATACAGCTCCTTTATTTTGAGTATGGACTGACTCCACCACTGCTTCCAACGCAAAGCCAACAGATGTTGCTGCTTCTGCTCCTCTACAATGCATGCCAATACCAACTCTGCATCTTGCAGCAATTTCTATAGAACAAAAAGAAAAAAATGCGATTAAGAATTCCTTTCAAACAAGATACTTTTTAGATTGTAATGGTCACTGGAAAATATAATGTAAACAAGGTAGTAAAATGTATAAGACATGTACACTGATTCATTTTTGTTATTATGAAGGTTTGTTGTTTATTACTAATAATCTCCTTTATATGATATCTGTTTTTATATGACAGCTGTAGAAATGTTTGGTATAACTTGCAAAGATCTTTTGATGTACTAAATGACAGCTAACCCATCACACCGATAGGCTTCCCTTTTCTTTTCAAGAGTTGTAGAAACGTTTTTGCCAGGATGTACATTTCTAATATAAATACTAACCATGTAGGCAGAGTCTCTGGTTTCCAGTGTGGACATATGGCTCATTGTGGTCTTGGCGGTGGTCACAGATGCAGTGGACGTGCCATCAGTTATGTTGCTGAGCTTTAAGTATGCAAAATTTTTTAGACTAATTCCTGGCCAGACCCTAAGAAAAAAAAAAGAAGTCAAGCAGTATATACAATACAGTTTATTTTGAAATTGGTGAGTTTCATGATCTTGTAACACATACTTACTTCTGTATTATAAGTCTGAGCTTTCATACAGAAAACCATTTCTGTTCTATGAGAGAATGATGGCTGCCCTACGTCACGGCAGTTAGCAATAATGATATAGCAAAACAGCTCAAAGCAGTTGCAATAGATCTAAGCTCCTACAGGTACCACCTACTATACTGAAACATTATACTTACTAAAGTTCTTTCTTTTCCTTGCAGTTGTAATAATCAATGAGCTGCTAATGCTATCCAATGTACACTGCAGCTTTGCTAAAGTAATTTCCAAGTCTGACTTCAATCTCTAACAGTATCATACATTACAATACATTTTGTATGTCTAAACCTTGATGCAATGGTAATTATTGTACTTCACTGAATTCCTTACCTGCTCCCACGCTCTATCAGTGGCTGGTACTCTGTATCTTCTAAGGGCAGGCCAGCTTTCTTGCGTCTGATCAGTGTCAACAGCTTCTCCTTTGGGATTTCTATTTCTGGAAGGTGAACTTACACTTTAGAGTGTTTGTCAGAGGTAAACTTAAAATATTCAATATACTCCTGCAAAATGTGCACATTTGCCCATGTTTTAGCCCTCTAAAAATGCTGTACAGAAAAATAAAGTGAGATCAAACCTCCTGTTTGTGCTTGACAACACAATGCATTTGCTACACCAAAACCCAAAACAGTGTTATCAGCCGCACTACAGAACTCTGTTCTATTTCTTTACCAAAAAACAATGGCACTGTCTTTGCTCCTAAGAGCCTTTCCACACACTGTGTATGGAAGGGGCTCTTGGGAAATGTAGTTCTGGGGGATGTCAATCAGAAATTAGGGCCCACCCACTGCCCCTGCAAGAATTTAAAAGCTCCTTTCCACTATGCTTTTCACTCCTGTCTTGTATATATCATTGTCACTCACTGGCTGGTAAGACATCATCCACAGTAAGCACCTCATCCAGCTCCAGTAGGATGTTCTCTGCAAGTGAAGCCAAGAAAGTGACAAAACGCTGAATGCTCTCCAAAACACAGTCCTGAAAACAAGAAGGGTACTAAGCATTATTTCATCTACATATTATCATTTTTATAAACATTTATTTCTTATACTTCTTGTAGTCTTTAATCATACATAACAGGCATTTTCCCATTTTTCTTCAACAGGGAAGAAGATAATGGGCATAAAAAATATAAAAACAGACTACAGAGCTATTAGGTAGTGGATGTGTATGGATTATATTTGGAGAATAAGAATATAATTTAGTGTCACTGCAGCATATGTACAGAACATCAAGACCATCAGTGATAATTCTCTAATTCTCTCTATATTTTATGTGTCCTGTTTTACCTGTCTGTTTAATTTTTCATGGAATCATGACATCCCAGTGAGGCAGCAAAGCCAGGTGCTGGACTTCCGTGAGTTTTCTGCCAACTACACTGCAACTAAGCAATAGTGTCTGATCCAGGTCTTGCTCCACCCTGCAAGTGGACAATGAAGAAACAGCAGCACACTGATGAGGTCAGCACTCTGCTGCTCTTTCCTCCACTCCGGAATCTTCCACTGTTGGATGAACAGCACTAGGCAATGTAGCAGGTCTTTGAGTGGCATACAGTGCTGCTCATTCTCCCAGTCTGATCAAGTCATGATTAACTGGATTTCATTGTGTCTTTTACATCTGCCTGAAATTTCTCACTGCGTTCAGGTTGTAAGAAAGAAGAGTCAATATAATGTCTCACCTGTAACTGTTTAGCATTCTGCTCTATTCCCTCAGTCTCCTCCTGCTGTCTCCTCTCTTCCCGCTCACAGATGTCCTCCAGAATTTGGCAGTTATCTGGGTGTCCCAGGCTTGGCCTTAGCAGATTCTTCATTTCCTCCTAAAAAATAGGTGAAAGAATTTTCACATTTTGACTGCAGCTTAGGTTTTGTTCTTATATCATATTATCTTTACACCTAAAACCTTTGTCCTAGGTATGTATAGAGTGAGGAAGAGTTAGAGTTGGATGTCTCTCGCTGCTGCATGTATACTTGTTTAGGACATTTTTTTTGTTTGTGTCCAAGTAGAAGAGATTTTTCCCCTACTTCCTGCTCTGCTCAACTTTTGGACAGGAAAAGTGGGGAATCTCCCTCATGAAAAGAGATGACACAGGTTTTACACTTCCTCATCCTGCTGCAAAGTTTTGTTTTTTTTTGGCTCTGAGAAGGAAGGGACTCCCCTTGAAACGCGTTACCCTTTGTAGACCTGCGTGGCTTCTTCCTGTGATAAGAAGTTGGAGTAGCGGTTCTGGTGTACCTATTTCTGGATTATATTGATGAGCTTGTTTACATATTGGTTTGTAAGTACAATATTTGCTTTTATCAATAAATGGCGTATGAAGCTAATGCGCTAGGCTGGTGCACCCTTTCTTTTATTTTTACAGTGAGCAGTTTATTGGGACTACCCAAAAAGAGGACAGCAAAGCGTGGTGGCCATTAAACAATTTGGAACGAAACAAAGGGAGTCAATTGGCTTTGAGCACACACTTGAGTGCAGGAGTGTTTCACATTAAAGTCATATTTGCTCATCATATATGTTGACCGTGCTTCTAGCTTAGCTTTGTTGCAGCTATTCTCCTTTACAATCTTAATGCAAGTTTTAGCAATACAAGTTTACCAGCCTGCCTGACTGAAAACAATGTCCTCACTAGAAGCCACGCTTTTCAATTATTCAGAAAGGATGTAAACTGCCCAGTTCACACTAGAAGATAATCTACAATTCTGTATACATATGATATAGCAAGCAAGTAGTATAAAAGTTGTACACTAAAGCCATATAGCTGTTTTTTAAATATATTGTATATACAACTTTTGTTTTACAAAAGTTAAACTCACTTGATACGCGTCTTTCTTCAGCCTAACCATGTAATTATATAATAATCATTTAATACATGACAAAGGGTTCCCAGAGTGACATGAGCTTTAAAGTGAAGAGTATAGCAGTAGCTGTCTTCTTTATTATTAATAATGATAATAATAATAAACTTTGGAGCCTTGAAAGGTAGTTTCTCAAAGCACTTTACAAAGAAACAAAACAAGAAATACACAGGATAAAATAAAGGGCAAAAGGGACAATTACATGAAAGCTTGTCTAAAGAAAAAAGTTGTTAGATTTGATTTAAATGAGTTTAGAGAAGATGACTCTCTGATGTTCTTTGGAAGTGCATTCCAGAGTTTTGCAGCATAGCAGGAGAGGGCTCTGTCTCTCATTGAGTGTAGGTGAGTAGGGGAAACACACAGAGGATCAGAATTTGAGGAGAAGAGGTTATGGGGGGGAGTAAGTTAATAAAACGTTTAGAGAGATAATGGGATGCCAAGCCATGAACAGCCTTATAGGTGAGCAAGAGGATCTTAAATTATATGCACAATGGGTAGCCTGTGCAAGAACTCCAGGATAGGGGTAATATGGTCACTTGTACCAGACCTAGTCAGGATTCTGGTTGCAGAATTTACAACCGGTGCATATTGAAGTCAGTTAATAGTGGATTTAGGTACACCAGAGAGTAGAGCATTGCAGTAGTCAAGCTGGGAGAACACACATTCATGGATCATCCTTTAGATAACTAAAGGGTCTTTCTTTAAAACAGAGGCTGTATAGAGGACTGCTCTGCTCTTGACTTGTGTGTACACATCTCAGTTTGAGCTACTGAGCTCTATAAACAACTGGTTTTTTAAAGGATAAACAAAGGATATACTGGAACCAATAATGAAAGGGTCTTAAAGAATATTAGAATAAAAGATATTGATAGGCATTGTTTACTAAAAATAAAATGGAAAACATTTGTTATTTTTGTAGAACACTAGTTTACATTATCATTAAAGAAAAAGTGCATTTAGTTAAAGGGTTAATATGGCAACCAACACCCACTCAAGCAGTGTCCCATGAAAACTGTTTAAAAGTCATCCTGCAAAGTATTAGCTGTTTGTTTTGTCATGATACACAACACCAAATACACAAAATACCTTAGTTTGGTTCCATTTATCAAGCTCTTTTTTGAAAAGCTGTTGTATTTGTTCTACATTCATTTCCATGGCTTCCAAGTGTTCCTGTCTTAGGCTGTCTAATACTAGCTTTGGTACATTACATAAGAGTTTTTCAAATTCTTCCAGCTGCTCCCGAAACTCTGAAAAAGATGAAAAGTTACCAAACATTTGTGTACATTTCAGAGCAAAGAGTACACTCAACCCTAGGGGGTAGACAGACACATACAGTGCCTTGAAAAAGTATTCATACCCCTTGTAACAATTGTTGTCATGTTACAACCAAAAACGTAAATGTATTTTATTAGGATTTTATGTTATAGACCAACACAAAGTGGCACATAATTGTGAAGTGGAAGGAAAATGATAAATGGTTTAACCTCCTCGGCGGTATGATTCTTTCCGATTTTTTGTGCTGAAAGCGGTACTTTTTTTTGCATGGAAATATGTAGTTTTTTATTGTAGGCTGTAATTTTTAGGAACAGCTCACTGAAATCTGTACGAACAAGAGTCTAGTAAACATCCCAGGTAGGATAAAATTTGAAACACAAAATCATAAATTATAATTTAATAAATAATATTAAAAAATAATATTATAATAATAATAAATTTAATTCAATAATATAATCAAACCAAAAACACTGAAATTTGAAATACAGAGGCAAATTCGCACATCGCTGAGCAAAGTCGCAAAATTGTTTTTAGTGTCTGATGACGAATTTCCCCACAAATCATTATCACTCAATTCTGCAAGTGGTTCTGATTTACAGTGGGGCAAAAAAGTATTTAGTCAGCCACCAATTTTGCAAGTTCTCACACTTAAAAAGATGAGAGAGGCCTGTAATTGGCATCATAGGTAGACCTCAACTATGAGAGACAAAATGAGAAAAAAAATCCAGACAGACAATCACATTGGCTGATTTGGAAAGAATTTATTTGCAAATTATGGTGGAAAATAAGTATTTGGTCACCTACAAACAAGCAAGATTTCTGGCTCTCACAGACCTGTACCTTCTTCTTTAAGAGGCTCCTCTGTCCTGCACTCATTACCTGTATCAATGGCACCTGTTTGAACTTGTTATCAGTATAAAAGACACCTGTCCACAACCTCAAACAGTCACACTCCAAACTCCACTATGGTGAAGACCAAAGAGCTGTCGAAGGACACCAGAAACAAAATTGTAGACCTGCACCAGGCTGGGAAGACTGAATCTGCAATAGTCAAGCAGCTTGGTGTGAACAAATCAACTGTAGGAGCAATAATTAGAAAATGGAAGACATTCAAGACCACTGATAATCTCCCTCGATCTGGGGCTCCACGCAAGATCTCACCCCGTGGGGTCAAAATGATCACAAGAACGGTAACCAAAAATCCCAGGACCACATGGGGGACCTAGTGAATGACCTGCAGAGAGCTGGGACCAACGTAACAAAGGCTACCATCAGTAACACACTACGCTGCCAGGGACTCAGATCCTGCAGTGCCAGACGTGTCCCCTGCTTAAGCCAGTACATGTCCGGGCCCGTCTGAAGTTTGCTAGAGAGCATTTGGATGATCCAGAAGAGGATTGGGAGAATGTCATATGGTCAGATGAAACCAAAATAGAACTGTTTGGTAGAAACACAACTCGTCGTGTTTGGAGGAGAGAGAATGCTGAGTTGCATCCAAAGAACACCATACCTACTGTGAAGCATGGGGGTGGCAACATCATGCTTTGGGGCTGTTTCTCCACAAAGGGACCAGGACGACTGATCCATGTACATGACAGAATGAATGGGGCCATGTATCGTGAGATTTTGAGTGCACACCTCCTTCTATCAGCAAGGGCATTGAAGATAAAACATGGCTGGGTCTTCCAACATGACAATGATCCCAAACATACCACCCGGGCAACGAAGGAGTGGCTTCGTAAGAAGCATTTCAAGGTCTTGGAGTGGCCTAGCCAGTCTCCAGATCTCAACCCCATAGAAAACATTTGGGGGGAGTTGAAAGTCCGTGTTGCCCAGCGACAGCCCAAAAAACATCACTGCTCTAGAGGAGATCTGCATGGAGTAATGGGCCAACATATCAGCAACAGTGTGTGCCAACCTTGTGAAGACTTACACGAAACGTTTGACCTCTGTCATTGCCAACAAAGGATATATAACAAAGTATTGAGATGAACTTTTGATATTGACCAAATACTTATTTTCCACCATAATTTGCAAATAAATTCTTTCCAAATCAGCCAATGTGATTGTCTGGATTTTTTTTCTCATTTTGTCTCTCATAATTGAGGTCTACCTATCATGCCAATTACAGGCCTCTCTCATCTTTTTAAGTGTGAGAACTTGCACAATTGGTGGCTGGCTAAATACTTTTTTGCCCCACTGTACTATCGCTGTTCTTTAGCTGGTCTAAAACCGCTTTTGACGTAAAGGGACGCTTTTTGGACGCCATGGACTTTTCTAAGTTTCCAGGCAGAAAGAACAGTCAAAATGCAGCAGGGCACAGGACAAAGCAGTAGGGACAAAATGTATGTGAAATGCATTGAAACAGCAATGTTTTACTATGTAATAATAATTTTTGAAAAAATGACATTTTAAAAATTTCAACTTTGCCGCCGGTTCCGGGCGCCCGTACGTCCCGACGTCACAGGGACCGGTAACACGGAAGCCGGATGCCAGCAGCCGGAGGAGATGGCCGGGGACACATTGTGGGAGGGAAGGACAAGGTAAGTGCTGCAGGGACTCCCTGAGCAACGCCGCATGGTAAGCCCGAGTGTAGCTCGGGGTTACCGCTTTTGGTACTGACATTTTACCCCGAGCTACACTTGGGAATACCGCTAAGGAGGTTAAACATGTTTACAAATAAATATCTGAAAAGTGTGGTGTGCATTTATATTCAGCCCCCTTTACTCTGATACCCCTAACTAAAATCTAGTGGAACCAATTGCCTTCAGAAGTCACCTAATTAGTAAATAGAGCCCACCTGTGTGTAATTTAATTTCAGTATAAATACAGCTGTTCTGTGAAGTCCTCAGGGTTTGTTAGAGAACATTAGTGAACAAACAGCATCATGAAGGCCAAGGAACACACCAGACAGGTCAGGGATAAAGCCGTGGAGATGTTTAAAGCAGGGTTGGGTTATAAAAAAGTATCCCAACTTCTGAACATCTCACGGAGCACTGTTCAATCCATCATCCGAAAATGGAAAGGGTATGGCACAACTGCAAACCTACCGAGACATCTAAGACATCCACCTAAATTGACAGGCCAGGTAAGGAGAGCATTAATCAGAGAAGCAGCCAAGAGGCCCATGGTAACTCTGGAGAATCTGTCCACAGGACAACTATTAGTCGTGCACTCCACAAATCTGGCCTTTATGGAAGAGTGGCAAGAAGAAAGCCATAAGATGTCCCATTTGCAGTTTGCGAGAAGCCATGTGGGGGACACAGCAAACATGTGGAAGAAGGTGCTCTGGTCAGATGAGACCAAAATTTTACTTTTTTGGCTTAAAAACAAAACACTATGTGTGGCGGAAAACTAACACTGCACATCACCCTGAACACACCATCTCCACTGTGAAACATGGTGGTGGCAGCATCATGTTGTAGGGATGCTTTTCTTCAGTAGGGACAGGGAAGCAGGTCAGAGTTGATGGGAAGATGGATGGAGCCAAATACAGGGCAATCTTAGAAGAAAACCTGTTAGAGTCTGCAAAAGCCTTGAGAATGGGGTGGAGGTTCACCTTCCAGCAGCACTTTTTAAATAGCATTTTTTTTTTCTTCCTTTCCTTGTTTCCCTCACTCTAATTAAGGGGAGTGGTTAATTGGTCACAGGCGATACAGGTCCTATATAACGTGCTGTAGAGCTCACTCTGAGCTTGCTCATTTTTGAGCTTGCCTGTATTTTGCTTGCCGGACCTTTGACTAAGTGGAGTTAAAAAACCGGAGTTGAAAACAGAAGATTATAACAGGAGTCTACTAACCTGTAAGTGACAAGTGATCTTCCCTGTTAATATTTTAACTGGGATATGAGTGCTAGCAGGGTTGAAGGTTTTGTGCAGTGCACAGTGTGTCGCATGTATGCAGCAATGGAGCAACAGCTCCAGGAGTCTCGCGTTAGAGGTCTGTAGGAGAAACGTTGCAACACTGGGCAGAGGTATCACCCATGAAAGGGGTCTTCTGCTCTCTGAGCAGGTAGCTAATGGGATTGATGTGGAGGGTGGAGGGGCTAATCAGGATTATCAGGTAGGAAGATGGGCTACTGTAACGAGAGGGAGTGGTAGGGGCTAACAGAAAAGGAAGGATGGCCCTGGATTTGAGAACCCAAACATATTTGCCAAGTTGGGTAAAGATGTGGGGGTGGCAAGCTCAGGGGTGGCAGCCCTGGATGTCACTGCTATCCCTAACAGCCGGGAGGGCAGACCATCTGGGAGGGGTGGTAAGGGTAGTGCAAGAAGGCCTAGACAGCTGGTTGTAGTAGGGGATTCTATGATCAGAAGGACTGATGGAATAATTTGTCGCCAGGATCACCTCAACCGAATGGTTTGCTGTCTCCCTGGTGCCAGGGTTCGGCATGTGGTGGACCAGATTGATATATTAATGGGAGGGGCTGGGCATGGCCCAGCTGTCTTGGTTGTTGGAACCAATGACAGAATACATGGAAGGTGGAGGCTCCTTAAGAATCAATTTAAAGAACTAGGCTGCAAGTTGAAGGGAAGGACCTCCAAGGTGATATTCTCTGAAATATTACCTGTGCCAATGCGCAACTCAGGAAAGACAGGGGGAGATAAGAGAACTCAATGCATGGCTGAAGACCTGGTGTAAGAGGGAAGGATTTGGGTTTCTAGAGCACTGGGCTGACTATTCACTGGGGTGTAACCTATATGCTAGAGATAGTCTGCACCTAAATGGAAGGGGGTCTGCTGTGCTGGGGGAGAGGTTTATGGGAAGGCTGGAGGAATATTTAAACTAGGATCGAGGGGGGAGGGAGAATTAGATTATAACGGGGTAGACAGATCAGACAGGGGTCAGTACTTATTGGTGGGTGGAATGGGGAAAGATGGGGGAAAGGCTATGGCAGATAATAAGAAGGTTCCCATGTTACAAACAACCAGTGGAACTGGTACCATTTGTATGAAAATAAAAAATATGCAAAA